ACACACACACACACACACACACACCAAGTAATCATCACCCAATCAGCTGTCTATTTGTCTCATCCCTCAAAACGCTGTGATTTATTAACCATTTTCACAGATTCCTGCAGGTCAAGGCAGGCTGATTGCTACTACAAACTTCTGCCCATTTCAATAATTACAACCATTTTATCTCAGATAGTAAGTATCGCTACATGGGCTCTGCATTCAGAAATCCCATATCCCCACTAATACTAGGGAGACTACTAGTTCCATAGCATCATCTACTTTTAATAACTCCAATCTGTGGAGGATAGGCATCACCAAATTTTTTCAAAGATGTTGATGTCTCCCTCACCAGTGAATTCATTATTACCTGACTGAGGGGAATGTCCTTTGAATCCTCCCAGGAAACAAACTCAGGTGCTAGATTCTAAATGTCACATAACAAATCCACTCTAACATTCCTATTTCCATGAGCCTTCTGACATCTTCCTTTATACTATGCCAAAGCAATTTCAGCATCTCTATTTTTCCTATTGACCATTATCACATCCAGCCTTCAAGGAAACAGCTCAGTAGCATATTAGGACCAGCTGTAGGTGCTCTTGCTGGGATATTGAATACCAATTCATGTCAATAAATTCTTCTCTATGCAGCCTTATTTTATTCCTCCTACTAGTTCAACACTCTTGAGATCCATCCCTACCTTGTTCCCCTTGTTCCTTTTGGTATATAATATGGGACCTGCAAGTACTGTAAATTGTTTCCTCCTGAAGCAATAACTATATTTCCCTGCTCAGGTGTCTGAAATCTGATGCCAGTTACTGGCATGGAGACAACGAGTGGTAGCAGGGCTGGATCTAGGAGGACAAGCATCCTGTGAGTCGCCTTCCTCATACAAGGGCCTCTAAGTCTCTGCAGGATCTCCAGGTAATAGGAGGGTGTTCTCCTTTAGCACGGAGAATGGGGCTGCTTCTGCCAGTGTGGAGAGTTCAGAGAAATCTGAGTGATTCCCACTCATTTACCCAAATGCCCATATTCCAGATTTCAGGATTACATTGTTCTCTACTAAGGCCCTAATTAAGTATACCTAAAGGAGACTTTGCAGCTCTTGTGATATTACAGACTCTAGCACCTTGTGATATCACAGAGCCTAGCAACTGACTTTGTTCCCCGGGAGGATTCATAGGACATTCCCTTCAGTCAGGTAATAATGAATTCACTGGCGAGGGGGACATCAACATCTTGAAAAAATATTGCAGACTCTGTAATATCACAAGATCTGCAAAGTCTCCTTTGAAGCTATGCTGTCCTTATAATTTGATCCTGGGCCTGATTGTCACCACAGACTCTCTTGTAGCTGCAGGAAATGATCTCATATAACAATGAGAGTGTGAGTCAATGCTTTACCTTCTACCTGTACCTCTGCTCAACAAGCTCATATGAGAATCTTAGTAGCTGCATGCCGCTGGTTATCACCACCTCATTTTCCATTAGCAGTGGGTTCTTCATTGCTATCCGACTGATGAGTTGTCCAGCTCCCAAATCCCATCCTAATGGTCTGCATTCTAGGGCTAATCCTGATATTAGCTCTCTTCCCAACAGTTCCCCTGAAGTCAGAACATGAGAAATAGATCTGCATGAGAGCAATTTGTTTGAGAACGAGTTACCAAGTAGCAAAAGTGATGAACAGGAGAATGACACAGAGAAGGCTGGAAAGCCAGTACAAGAATGTATTATCAAGTTGGCCACTTCTGTGGACAACTGGTTCTGGATCACACTGGTTCTGGATATTCTGTGAAGTCTTAAGAAATGTGTATCAATACTGTTCATCTCAGAGTTGAAAGGGGGGATCATTTATTCATCAGTTCCAACTCCTTTTGATCAAGGATGGAATGACAAAGGTTAAATCCCCACACTTCCAAGTTGTAAGGACTGAGTACTGAATGGATTCCCTCAAGGATCAGAGAGATCAGAGAAGCCCCAGGGATCAGAAAGAGGTCTACAATGCAGGCTCACCACAAGCACACAGTTGAGTTACACCTGTGTGAAGTTTGTCAAATCCTAAGTGGAAGTGGTCCTAGCAGCTGTGGCTAGAGTAAAAGCTGAGGTCAAGAAGATCTGAGACTAATACATATGTGTAAATTGATGTGAAGGAAGCCTGATTTGCAAGAAGCTTTCTAGCAGAGACGGGTGGGAAAGGAAACTACTGGGCTATAGAAGTGGATCCTATCATTATCTTGTACCTACATCGAACAAAATATAAACTGAATTGATTTGTAGATTGCAAGAATTAGGTGAAATAATGCATGTGAAGTTCCTATCAACTTGATAGATGCTCAATAAATAGTAGTTTTAAAAAATCTCTATTCAAATATTTATCATAGGGCACAACTCCTGGCATGTATACATTTGTATCACAATAAACACATGCTGAATTAAAAATTCAGGCTGGAGATGATGAGGTCCTTAACTTATGTCGCCAGCAGCAATCCTTTCAACTGCTGTCCATTTTACGTTTCCTATCCTAAATGCTGTCCTCTAAAACTCCAACTTGCGTTCTTTTTTTTGAGGACGAAATAGCAAAAGTAAAATAAAGTAAAAATCCAAGGAAGTAATTGTAAGATGACACTATAGAATGTGTGGGAAAGGAGGTGTAGCGAGTTGGGATGTATTTTTAATTTCTTGTCCACTAGATGGTAGAACAGAGTCCCTTATCCTGACAGTTCTTTCTTTCTCACAGTTTTGAATTTCTCTCACAACGCCTACATGGGATTTTGCACGTGGAGGAAATCTAATAAATTAAATGTTTTCAAAACTTCCGCTTGGAAAGCAGAGAGTTGAAACTATAAGGGTGGGTGGGGAAGATTAGGAAGAGTGGATCAGAAGTGCGGAAATACATAAACTACGGGAGCTAAACTACATTTCCCAGGAAGCCATGGGCTGGGCCTACAACACCCATCATGCCTGTGTTCCTGTTGTCGTGACCCGTTCGTGAATCCGCTTTTCCACGGAGCGCAGAGAAAGCCGTGGAGTGTCTACTGGTGCAGCAGCGACGGCTCTTACCCACCAGAGTACCTTGAGCTTCGGCTACTCCATCCTTTGCCTTGCTTTTTGAGGTAAAAATATACTAACCACTGTCCCGCCGGGCCCACGAGCCACGTGACCAGCCGCGGTCATGTGACTCAGAAGCCCAGCGGCTGAAGTGTTACCCTGACAACTGATGGACCCCTGGCAGATCTTCCGGCAAAGCCGGGAATTCGGAGAACAAGGTAGGTGAGGCGTGGATGCTTGCTTCCAACTTGCTTGAAGAGACTGTTCTCAGACCCGCTCCTCAGAGCTTTAGTTACGGGTCACTCCCTTCCTTCTCCCCGACTCCACTGCAAGTGCGTCTTTGTCTTCCCGCCAACTCCGGAACCCGCTGGAGCGGAGACCCAGCCAATCCGAGGACCCTTTTGGTGGGATCCGACTTCGAATAAGAATTTGGGGCCCAGACCTTAACTGCACACGCCCTATACTGATCAGCAATGCTAATGAGGAGGAGAAGGTGTTAATCCGCAGGCTGAGCCAAGTGTCCTGCGGGTCCCTCCCCCCTTCCCCGCCTCAGCGAAAGGAAACTGCGGGGTGAGCTGCCTGCAGGAGTTACAGAAGCTGGGACAGATCTGAAGTTGATCTCTTTAGAGGGACGGGGAGAGCTTTGCGTTACAAGTCACTCCTGCATCGTTTTTGTTGGGCTTCCCTCACTCCAAAAGAAACGTAGTTCTGATTGATTTGTATACTCCATTAATTTTAGGTAGATTTTTGAGGCTTAATAGGTTCCATTTGTCTGTATTTGGCAACGTCCCATATCTAGAAACATTCTATTTTGCAATACTATTAATGTAGATTGATAAATAAGTAGCTGAATAATAAGGCAGCAAAAACTCTGTCTTGGGCTTTACACACAAAAAACAGTCTTTTGGATTTGCTAATTTATAATTTTTAAAAGATTCCTTGCGAGGACCCGTTTTCTTTTTTTGATGTTAAATTTTAACACACACACACTAATATGTATAGATTTAGGGAAAAGGGTGGAGGCTAACCTTTAACAATTGGATGCTAACAATAAAAAATTATTTCTGGATCCTAAGTACAAGGTAAACTGTGAAACCTGCTTTTCCAAATCAGTTTTATGAAAGAATTAAGAATCTTGTCCAGCTTACTGGTCCATAATTGTGCATATATACTAAATTGTAAGATGAATGAAGTTTGAGTCTGGTTGTTTTCATGATGTGATATGGATTCTCTCAAAAGACGTCTATTAATTATCTCTTGATATTTAGTGTTTCCAGTGTTGTAAATACTTGGGAATGTCTACTGTGGGAAGTAAAAATTATTGAGTATGGCTCACTATTTCAAAGAAGAACTGGATGAAGAGTTTGAACAGTTCATGAAAGAAGTAAGTTGATATTTTTAAAAGCGATATTGTAAATTTGCCTCATAAGAAACTCATCCTTCAATTCTGTTTCACCTCTAAGATACAGTCAGTCCATCATCAAGTTCTGTAAGCTCTAGTTCTCTCCCTTTTCACTGCCACCATCCTAGTCAGGACACCAGTATCTCACCTGGGCTCCTGCAACACTTCCCAAGTTCTGCCCCAGCATTTCTTCCCCACTCTGTAGCCAACATGATCTGTTACATAAATCATACTCTGTCCCTCGCCTATGTAAAACATACTCTATTGGCCTCCTATCACATATAGAATAAAAGTCCAAACTGCTTCCTGTGGTTTACAAAGCCCTGGATGATTTTGCTCATGTCTAGCTCACTGTATACCACTCCTCCTTCTTATCTGCTTGTGCTACAGTGGCCTTTTTTCTCTCCCAGACGTGCCAAGTTCATGTCACATTAGGAGCTTTGCACTAGCTGTCCCCTCTGCCAATAATATTGTCCCCCTATTCTTCACCTGGCTGATGAGGATCTCACGTTAAATATCACTGCCTCAGAGAGGTTTTTGTTCTGTTTATCCAGGAAAAATGTAACCATCATGTCGCTTCTTAGTATACCATGTATTTAATTCTCTATGTCACACTTAGCACCATTCATTATTTTACCTGTGTAGGTCTGTTTTCTGCCTCCCATTATAAGAATGTATGGTCTATGACGTGATGGCTATGTATTCATTGCTATATACCTGCAGTGTCTAATAGGTGCTTAATAAGTGTTTGCTGAATGAATAAATTAGAGGGTTATACTACATCATATGTATTTATATAAACAGAGAGGCCTTGTAGAGCATTCAGGAGAGTCACATTTTAAACTATACTAACCTTCTTGTTCATAAAGGAAGTCTGATGTATGATACAGTAGAAAGAATCTCACTTTCATTATCTAATAGGAAAAATAACGCCTACTAGGTGGAATTGTTGTAAGGATTAAAAAAAATAACAATTTTCTGATTGTTTTTTGATCAAGTTTTCTTTATTTCTCTGTTGTTAGCTTTGATGTTTTTCTCCCTGGTTAGTTTACTTGTTTAATTCTGGGTATGAAATTGATGTTCAGAGATGTATGCTTGATTTTTATTTTGGCCACATATGTTTAGGAATATGAATTTATACATTGTTGCCGATAATATTGCTGAACTGTGAGAAAACTAAGAGAAACATTTTTAATGATGAAGCTGGGATTTTCGAATTTAAAATTCAGTAGCTTATATCTGATTCAGCTTTCAGATGATTCTTTTGAAAATTCAAACAAAACACATGGACAACCTAAAAGAGAAGTGAAAAAGAAACATGCACTGCCGTGGTGGATAACTGAAGATGACGTTGAAGATGGTGGTAAATATTGCTGATTTTTCATTTCAAATTATTTGACCACAAGGGGTCAGTCAAAGACTTTTAATTCTGGATTTTGTTACTGTACTATAAATACAGAGGGTGCCAAAAACAATGTATACGCATTTTAAAAAAGTAAAAAACTGTATTAAAATTGTAATACAATGAATGACTCGAGCATTCATTTGATTAACACCGTCTTTTTAGCGAACGAACGTCATACTACTACACATTGCTACCATAATTCAATTCAACTTCGAAAAGTAATACATAGATAACATCTCTTAAAATAATGTATCTTTTTTTGGTCCCCTGGTATATAAAGAAAGTAATACTAATAGTGTGAATTTTTGAGGTTTGAGTTGATTTTCATGTTACTTCACTTTATTGTATAGAATATAATTAAGAATCTATGTTTCTGCATTATTACGTTATTTTACATTGAGATAATTTATATTTATTAAAATTAAGATGAATAATATAGGTGTATTTATATATTATCATGTTTAATGGCAAATTGATTTAAGGTGATTTAATAAAATATTCTGACAATATATCATTGCATGGGGAAGATTTTAACAAATTTATAGATACTGGTATTACAGCCTGTTAATAACAGTAGTAAAAAATACAATTTATTGTATTAATGGTGAACTCATTACTGATCCTGTGTGGCACATGTGTACACATTTTGCAGAACTATTCCTTGTCACATCTTTACAAATGGAAAATACACTTTGGAGTGTTTCTTCGGTGTACTATGTATGATACTGCTGTATCTGTAAGGAACCCCAGACTATTTCTATGAAGTACCTATATTCACACTGTTTGTGGTTCATTTTATAAACTAATGAGATTTCTGTCTCTTCTCTAGGGGAAAAATTTACCCATGGCTTTTGTTTTTCCCTATAAAATTGAGCTTGAATTCCTTAATCTGACAGTTAAGGCTCTACATAATCTGACTGGAACCCTCCTTTCTAGCCTCATGTGCTCCAGCCACACTCATGTATTCTCTATTTCCTGGCAACGCCATTGGTTCCATACTTCTGAGCATTAGCTCATGCTTTCTTGCCACTACAATGTCTTTGCCTCTCATCCTTCTTGTCCAGTGAAGCTTGGCATTACCTCTTTATGCAGTCCTTCCCTAACTCTTCTAGTTCCCTTGTAATTACAAATAATTACCTTCTCCTTTGTTTCCGTGTCAGAACAGCACACTAGCGCTACATGTCATGTTAATAGTTGTAACCTCTACTGAGCTTTGCGAGGGCAGAAAACACTTGTTTTTCCTTGTATCCCCTGACCCTCAATAGTAAATAATAAATGTGTTCAACAAATGAATGTTAGAGTGGATTTGATAGTCACTTCTCTGTTCTTAATAGTGTACAATAAGGGATTGCCTTATTGAAAAATTCAGTGTGTTTTTTTCATAAGTCACCCAACCATGCAACAATGCTAAAGTTTGCATGTGAAGAATTCTCTCTTAGGATCTTTCCTCCGTTGGTGCTTGTAGAGGGTGTTATATGATGAAGTACTATTTGGAATTTTTGACAAAGATTTGAGACTTAATTAGCATTACAGTCTCTTTTCTAGAAAGTAACCAGTCAGAGATGAAATGTGCACACTCACCCCAAAAGGAAAGAATAGGCCCTAGACCAACACTTGAATGTAACCTGACTAAAGGTATTAATAATTTTTTTAAAAAATTATCAGTCAGAAGTGGATTTGATTGGTAAAGGAAGCAAAGAAGGATACTTAAGAAACAAGCTTTGACAATGTTACTTTTATGGTGTTCATGTTATGCTCTGAGTCCTGGGCACGAGTATACAAAGAAAAGATATGATTCCTGCCATCAAGTGTAGAAGTGTTTGAGGGAGGAGTGAACACCCTCCTAAGGAGAGGAACACATTACCCATCTTAGAAAGGACCATTCAGCATCAACATTGAGCAACTTCAGCCTTATAATTGTGTTTTCTCTTTCGATCACCATAAGGATAAAATGTTCTGCCTGGGGGGTGAACTATCTAATCCTCCTTCTGGTTATACTCTTCATTATAAATAACTAAATTGGATCTTGGTTTCAGTTATAGCGGTGTCTTGTGAGCTCGGTTAGTGTGGGTCCCATTCCTGAGTCCAGCTTTGGAGCCAGAGTGAGGCCCTGGACAGACACGGCATGCCACGGCACCCCAGCCTTGGCATGCGCTTTATTCTCTGAAGTGTCTCCATCTTGATTTTCTGCAGCTGTGGAAGTAATTTGATCTATAAAATCATTATTCACACAAAGCCATAAAATAGGTTCTTGAAGCCTTTCCAAAAGGACACTAATTAGGAAATTGAAGTCAGAATTTGTGAGTTCTTCATAAGGTGTCCTTCTAAGCAAAAGTGATATTTTACTAGTCTGAATGTTTATATCACATAATTTTTTACTTTTTGCATATACCTGGTTTTTTTTACAGCAAATATGTACTCTTAGGATAAAGAAATTTTTATATTGCATAACTTTTTCAGTGTTTTTATTGCATTTGGAATAAAGAGCAAACCCTACCACTGGCCTGTGAGGATGAGCATGGTGTGACCATTGACTCCTGCTCTGGGCTGATTTCTAGCTGGACTTACCTCACTCTCTAGACCCACCTTCACTGGCCCTTTTGCATCCCCAGATGTGGCCTGCCCCTCCCATTGTTGACCCTTTCTACTTTTGACTGGGATTGTCTCCCTTTCCCAGTTCACCTAGTTATGTCATACCCTTCCATCACATAGGGCAGAAGACACTCTTTAAAGTGGCATGGTATCCTGTATTAAGTACTGTCCTTCAAAATAATTTTTTTTCATCTTGTTTCTTGTCACCCTCATTATGCAAAATTTTGAAATATTCTACTTAGTAAGATATATTGCAAACAAATAAAATTATATATTTTTTTGTGAATTTTAGGTCTGATGGATTTTTATTTAATAGACTAGATTTATTTTGTAGCAACTATCCACAAAATTAGTATAATAGTATTACTGTGTTGGCATAGTAGTAAAACAATTTTCTGAACATAAATATCCAACTGTATTAAACTCCATCCTTAGGACTGCTTGGAACAAATGTCAGCTATTTGAAAACAAAGAAGACTTCTCAGCCTATTAGGGATATAGAAGAGGAATCTGCTGAAAGGATTCAATTTCTCAAGAGCAGTGGAACCTCTATCATAAGTCTTGACAGCTTAGAAACAAATGGTAAGAAATGTGAGACATAAGAGTTGACAGGTTAATACTATGCTTGTAATCAGAATTTTCACAAACATTACGTCACAACTATGTTGGAGCCTCCTTATGAAGCACATAGATAGATTTAATATCTCTGTAGAAAGTTTAGAATCACACTTCTAGAGCTTTATTACCTTGCATATTGATGATGAATATAAATCTATGTTGGTGGGTGAAAGATTAAGTAAAATATGTTTTAATTTTTTTAAATTTTACTATGTAATATCAATAAATGCATCATTAAAATTTTATTGAAATTCTGTATGCAAATAAAATGTATTTGTGCTTTCCATGTAGAGATAGTGGTTTCTGAGCTCAATCATACTGTTCTCGGATTGGGATTGGACACATTAGAGGAACAAGAGGAAAAAGAGCAGTTTTTTGCCAGACTTGAGAAAGGCTTAACATCTTCCATTGATTATTCAAGATTAAATAAGGAATTGGATTCTAATGACTCCACACATTTTAAAGCTTTACAAAGGTAATGTAAATACAATACAAACTAATCATTGAATGATTTTGTGTTTTTCTCTATTTTTGGAAGGCTGTTATATACATGGACTTAAATGGGTAAATATAACAGGCAAAAGTTAAATCTTATTTTTAACTCCATTCTCTGTTCATTATGTTGGTCAGGGTTTATTTTATTTATTTTTTTATGTGAACGAAATACATTGATTAGTATTCGAGAGCCCACTCTGCCTCCAGATATCTGAAATTTCATGCCTGAGATACTATTGAGACTAATAGCCATTACCAAAAAGACCTTACTAGGAAAGTAATTTATCAAGTGATTTTTCCACCGATAAGGCAAATAAGAGAATCCAGGTAGCTAATATAAACTCAGGGGGAACAGGAACAGAAAGGGAAGGGGGAACCAGCGCGCAAAGACAGGTTTGGTCTGTGTTCTACCTTTGTGTATATTTCACTCTAATGATTATCAGAAAACCTCATTTATCCTGGAAATCCCAGGAGGAAAGCCATCCTTACTGAGCTGGTCCTCTGTAAGTACGGTAGACCTTTGACATTCTGAAGACCTTTGTGAAACCTGGTGTGTTTAATATTCTCAGTTTCATTTTTCATTTAATTTTTAAGTTATAAATGAAAGATTATAATTTTAAGATTTTTAAGAACAGCAAACTAATTATATGAAGGGTCAGGAGAATCATAGTCTCTGGTTATTTGAGTTGCCTAGTTTCTTATAGATGGTAGACAAAATAGTGACTGTCATGAACTGTGTAGGGTCTGAGATTTTTACCCTACTTGGAAGCTACACAAGTTAGCCTGCCAGTTCTACGGATGCTGACAATAGACACAAGATCCCTGAGTCAGAAACAAAGGAGTTTATTTCTCACAACAAAAGCAGTACTGGAGTGTGAGGTTTGTCTCAGTTCCCCATGTCCCACAAGACCCATTGGGGCAAACGAAAGGTCCGTGATGGCTGTTTGCACATGCGGTGGGTAGCTTTACAGGAGAGGGTCACTGAGCATGGGGAATCTATTGCTTGTATAGTGAAGTGGAAACAAGCCTGCTCTGTTGGCAGAGACATTGCTTCATCTGTCAAGGTTGCTCACTTCAAACAGCCCTGAGAAATGACCTAAGATAGAGGGGGCTGTGCATTCTTGGCGTACCCAGCAGGAACATGCAGAGACACTCGGGGCCCATAGTGGATGCTTCTCCCAACAGTGACAACATAGATTAAGCATGCACAGGTTTGGCGGTCACAAGTTTTTGCCCTTTTACAATATTTCTTAACTTTTCTCTGATTTCTTAACAGTATTCTTATCTACTGATATTTCTGCTCCAAAACTGACTAGTCAGACTACATCATAGTATCAGATATGCAGTATTGTTTGCTGCTGTTTTTATTATAGTTTTATAATTTTGAGGATCTGCTAATGATCTTGCTAAAGATAGGGTTGATGGACTGAAAAAGGAAGAACAGATTTCTGGGTTTGAAAGAAAGCAGTGTGGGAACTAATATAACCAGTGTAATTCAAACTTGCTCAAGCTTCTTAGCCTTGCTTAGTTTTCCTTGATTTAAGGCTTCTATTCAGCTCCTATTTCAGGATTACATTGCTTATGAGCATGTAAATGCTGACCCTGGCATTTATTTCTGGCCTCCATGTAGACTTCATTGGTTCTCATAGCGTGTGGTCAATTCCTAATCTTTAGTGTAGAAAAGATATCTGGATCCTGAGACATAAACGCACACATTTATGTACAAAATTGTATATGTGTATGAAGTTTAAAAATATGGGATTTTTGTTTCCTTTGTATTACCTTTGCAACTACAGTTAAGCTGTAAGAAACCTTTGTTTTCCAAATGTTCTTATAGCTCCCATAATTTTAGCTTTGAGAAGAAATATTGGGTTGTCAGAAAAGTCATGACATATTTTTTTCTGTTTTTCATTGCAAAAATGCATCATGACTTTTCCAACAACCCAATACAGAATGTTAGAGATTTTAAAAAATATACACAAAGGATTGTATGGAAATGTATTATTAACATGTAACACTAAATTAAGTAAATATTTTTCCAGTAATCAAGCCAATATAGAACTAACTGAAGATAAACATGAGAATGAATTGAAGCATGAAGAACTAGCAGGTAATTTCATTGGTTTTAAAATTTACAATATTTGAAAAGATAATATAGCTTTTAATAAAGACATTGAAGAGAAAAATAGTTAAAAGGAAAATCAGATTGTCCTTTGAACAAGTAGAGTGAATTGCCTGTCTTACAATCTGAGCTACCAAGAAATTGTTAAAAAGTGCACTGCTATCTTATTTGTTGGAGTGGGCAGTGGACCAATTGGGGAGACAGAGAAAAGGATGTTTGTTCTAGGACCTTGGAAATCTGTGGAGCTGAGTCAGATACCACCAAAGAATGATTGGGGAGGTATATCTTTTCACACCTTTTGACTTTTAATATGTCTGTGCTTTTATATTCAAAATGGTTTTTCTTATAGATAGAATTGCTTTTTTATCCAGTCTGACAGTCTCTGACTTTTAGTTGAAGTGTTTCTACCCTTTACAAAAACTATATTTATCTTAATGGTAATTTATTGTTTTGCCATTTATCTTTCATCTTTCCATCTTGTTGTTGTTTTTATTGCTTTTGTCCCACAATTTTTGGATAAGTATTTATAGCATTCCATTTTTTCTTTCTTTTGGTTTGTTATACCTCTTTGCTCTATTTTTTTTCTTAGTTGCCCTATGATTCACAATATCCATCTTTATCTTATTAGAGTCTACTTTCAAATAATCATTGTACCACTGCTGACAGTTCCGTAGCTGAAAGTAGTAGAACCAAATAGTGAAACCCAGCCTCCTGGCTCCTGGTCAGGCTCTTAAGCATCATGCTGTATACTACCTGCATTGTTTCTTATACTACGTGTTGGCAGTCACAAAAACATTACATCCCCTTCCGTTGGTTTCAAGTGGTCCCTAAATCCCAAGTAGTTGTCTAAGTTCATTGTCATACCCTTCCATATCTCCTCTCTACTTGTTCATCATCTTTTCTTATGCAAACCCAATCTCTTAGGTTACTTGAAATTCAATAATTCCCACCTAGAATATTAGAATCTTAATCATTTTTATATTGGTCCTAGAACCTAGAATGATGTCTAATACAAGGTAATTTCTCAATGACTGTTTTGTGAATTTAATTGGGTCTACTGATACTTAGAAAATCCCAGTGTTCTTTGTCATATGGAGGAGAAACAAAGGTGAGCTTCTCAGCCTCTGAATATAGATACTGACATATTAACTAAGTAACTTAGCTTATCTACCTAGGCGACAATACCCATGCTGCCCCAACGTCATATTCCTTATGAACTAAAATGGAGATATTTCTGTAGGCACATCTCACTGGAAGCATCTCTGTTTAACTTCTAAGCCCTCTCAAGTTTACTCCCAAACTTCCAAAAAAAAAAATTACATTCAGGTTGTCCCCTCTATTCTAAAAGAAGACTAAAGGACAGCTTTCCAGAATCAGACTCTCTAGTACTTCATGCAGCCTTTCTCCCATCAGGCCCTCCTGTTTCTGAATGTGACCTAATTTTTGAAATGCAAATAAGACTGCCTTTCTTTCTAGAATGATTGATTCTACCCTGAAAAGGTCATTCCCCATCTACAGCCTATATATCTCAGTCAATCCTTGGTAAGGGCTGTAAACAAGTTAAAAATTTGATGACTACATCCGGGCCAAATAGTTCCTGCCCTATCTTCACCATAAGTAGTCTGACGGCATGATGTTAACACGGACACACCCTTCCCTTCTGCTCAAAGCCATTGAGATATAATTTGGGCCTTTAGCTGAGAAGTGCCCAGGATTGGGTGATGGTCATATTGGGCCAGTATTTCTTAAGGGAGGTATCAGAGACAGACTTCTCATAAGTACTGTTTCAGGCTTATAATAGCGATACTTACAGAGACCCAAAAAATCAGCTTAAAAATGAGCAAAATCTAACTTTTTAAGAGTGTCTAAGATTTCACAAAAGTGCTGCGTTTTTATAAGTAAGCAATTTGAGATTTTTGTCTTAAAAAAACAAATATTAAAGTTTTAAAGATTATATAAAATCTTTTGGGTAGTGCTAGACATTTTTGGTCAGTGAATAATATAAAAAATTAAAAATATAAAACTTAACAACTATTTGAAAGTACAAAAAATGAAATAAGCCTAAGACGTTCTTATGAATTGAATTATTAAATCTTTGCAAAAAAAAATCTGTTCTCTAAAAGTATCTTTAACATTTCAATAAATTATTTTTATGCAGAATTCTTCCTTTGGAAATCAGTCTTTTCCTGGAATTTGGCTTTTTTGACAATGTGTTCTTTGTATTTTTTAAAATTATTTTCTTCAGAAAATTACAGTGATGATTTTGAAGATGAGGATATTGATGCACCTTTAACTACTAAAGCTGAAGAGACTAATTCCAAAGAAAATTCCAAATCAGAAAAAATAAATGCACCCAAACAGGTATACATCAATTACATATTTGACAATTTTGAAACTTCTTTCATCACTAGTTGTTGTTATTTGAAGAGCTTTAAATATGGAGTTCTCTATAGTTTTGTTCATTGCAAAATTATAGGTCTTTTAATACTCAGGCATTTTCTTAACTCAGGCTGTCAATTTAGTATAAGTCTTAAGTATTATGGCAATTAATGACTTTCTAAAGGATTTCTTATGGCAAATAATTTCCTTAAGTTAAGCTTTAGAAATTGAATTGAAAACTTAATTAAAATCTCAAATCTGATTTTAAGCAGGTAAATTACACTTTTCTTTGGTAGGTCTTGTCCCTGTGAATAATAAATGCCCCTCCCTTAGTATTTATGCTAGTAGTAACATTACTGTCTGGGATTTACTTATTATGAATTAAATTCTCTTCATATTCAGTGTTACTATACTCTACTCTAATTATCTTGTTTCTCAGTTCTTACCAAGACTAGTTAAGGGTACTACAACATACTGCCTGCCTGATGGAACTTATCCTTGAGCTATCTAATAATAGTAGAACAATTACTATTTGTTATATTGGTCTTCATCTGGACACTGTCTCTTCAGGGACTGCATGTTAGGAGTAGATGTTTTGAACATGTGTGAAACCATAAACTCTCTAAAAAGAAGTAAGGAACACTTAGGTATTAATAAATACTCCTAAGAAAATTATCTTATTCTTACCTAGTACTTTGTTGTTGGGTATCTGTATCAAACAAGATGATTTTAGAAATACAAAAGGATTAATGAGACCTGATGAGTATCTTTAGAAATTTAATATGATTTGTATTTGGACTATTGCAGTTATAATACTTTATGAAAAAGAAATAGGTCAGTAAAAGGCACTGTAGTGTGGTATATTAAGCAAAGATAGCCTGCATAAAAATGTGTCAGCCTAAATGTGGAAGCCTAGGAGAGAGTCTGTCTGGGTGAGGATCAAAATAGGAAGGAAATAAAGCTCTGTTACAAAAGGATAATCCTGAATACTGCCTATTCCAAGTGGAGAATATAGGTGACATTAATTAGAAAACCTCCTCTAAGGGAACCTATAATATTGATGAATTTCAACTATATGACCATTTGGTGGCCTGCCTTTTTGAAACTTTTGTCTCAAAATGTAGATGGAACAACGAGTACAAGTTATAGTTGATCATTAATTTTTTAACAATAAGGGGAAAATGATTGGTGATGTTATAATAATAAGAGTCTTATGTGAAGTATGCGTGTTACCCTTGAGATAAAAAAAAAATTTTTTTTCTGAGTAAAGTAGATAAGCAGATGGCATCTAGATACTTTAAACAAGTCTTATAAAGGCCTCAATTAATTACTATTTAATTGCCAAGGTTCTTAAGAGACTTTTAGAAGTTCTCTCACAGCTACAACCTCTAGTCTTGTAGAATTATTGGTAAGAGGGTGATAAAGAAACCTAGAAAGAACCATTTCCTGGTCTTTTCATAATGGAGTAAAATACTGGTTTTCAAATTTTGTTAACTCTCCATTGCGGTCATTTTATATAACTTTGGTTTCAAAAGATATGATTATTTTCCTCTTTTAATTTAGGAAGAAGAAAAAACTGGCATGCTGGCTAATGGTAAATATTATGTGTATTCATATATTTCATTTGGTAAAAAGTTGTTCAGAATTGTACCTAAATTCTGAATAAATCTCTATCTGTCTTTGTTTTTTAATATCTCTAATGAATTAAACTTCACAACTTGTCTTAATAACATGTCCCTTATGCCTATCTTCCTGTTATGTTTAAGAACATTTGTTTTTTAAAGCCCAGGACTGGATGGCTTCATGGGTGAATTCTATCAAACATTCAAAGAAGACATAATACAATTTTTCTTAAACTCTTTCAAAATACAGAACAAGAAGGAATACTTCCAAACTCATTCTATGAGGCCAGGGTCACCCTGATACCAAAACCAAAGCTATCTCATGAAAAGAAAACAATCACATTTAATATAACATCCAAAAGAATAAAATACTTAGGAATGAATTTAACCAAGGAGATAAAAGAGATGTACATAGTAATAAAAAACAAAATCAAAACCAAAAAAAACACCAAGGAAAGAAATTGAAGCAAACACAAATAAATGGAATGATATTACATGTTCATGGATTAGAAGAATTAATATTGTTTTAATGTCCATACTACCCAAAATGAACTACAGATCTAGTGCATGCCCTATCAATTTCAATGGCATTTTTCATAGATAGAAACAAACAATCCTAAAATTCACAGGAAACCATGAAAGATCCCAAAGAGCCAACGCGATCTTGAGAAAGGACAAAGCGGGAGGCATCACACCTCCTGACTTCAAACTGTTCCAGAACTATGGTAATCAAAACAGTATGGTATTAGCATTAAGAACAGACACATAGATCAGTGAAACAGGATAGAGAGCCCAGAAATAAGCCTATGCATATGTGGTCAATTTATTTTGACAAAGGCACCAAGAATACCCAGAAAAGGATAGTCTTATTAAATGATATTTAAAATGGATTCCAAACTTGAATATAAGACCTGAAACTGTAAAACTAGAAGAAAATATGGGTACTTTCCTTGACATTAGACTTGACAGTGATTTTTTTGGATTTGACACCAAAATCACAGGCAGCAAAAGCAAAAATAAACAAGTGAGACTACTTACTTTTTTTTTGGCTTGTTACTAGGAAACTAAAATCTTCTGCACAGCAAAGGAAACCACCAACAAAACGAAAAGACAGACTATGGAATGGGACAAAATGTTTACAAATATATATCTGATAAGGGGTTAATATTCAAAATATACAAGGAATTAATACAACTCAATGACAAAAAAACCGATTTTTAAAAATGGACAAAGGAAATTAATAGACATTTTTCCAAAGAAGACCTACAAGTGGCCAACAGAAAAATGAAGAAGTGCTCAACTTCACTAATCATCAGGGAAATGTGAATCAAAACCTCAGTGTTTACCTCACACCATTAGGATGCCTATTATTAAAAAGATGAGATGACAAATGCTGGAGAGGATGTGGAAAAAAGGGAACCCTTGTGCACTGTTGGTGGGATTGTAAACTGGTACAGCCATTATGGAAAACTGGAGGTTACTGAAAAACTAAAAGTGGAACTGTCTTATCCAGCAATCCCACTTCTGGATATATATCTGAAAGAGATATTTATACACCCATGTTCATTTCAGCATTATTCACAGTGGCCAAGACATGAATACAACCAAAATGGGCATCGACAGGTGAATGGATAAAGAAAAAGTAGTGTCTATATAGGCCTTTCATATGTATATAAAATTCATCCTTGAAGGAAATCCTGTCATTTGCAATAATGTAGATGAACATGGAGGACATTATACTAAATGAAATGAGGCAGACACAGAAAGACAGATACTGCCTGATCTCACTTACATGTGGAATCTAAAAATGTCAGACTCACAGAAACAGAGTAGAGTAATGGTTACGAGGGGCTGGGGGAGTGGGATATGGGAAGATGTTGGCTAGAGGGTACAAAGATTCAGTTAATGCAGGTTAGATAAGTTTTGGAGATTTAGTATGCAACGATGTGACTACAGTCAACATTAGTGTATCCTGTACTTCAAATTTGCTAAGGCGAGATCTCAAGTGTTTTCACCACGCACACAAAAGGTAACTATGCAAGGAGATGGATGTTAATTTGCTTGATTTTGAATATTTCACAATGTATACATATATCAAATTATCAAATTATACATCTTAAACATATACAATTTTTAATTGTCACATATACCTTAATAAAGTTGGAGGGAAAATGAGTATTTTTTTGTTGTGATTATTTTTCTCAGGCCCTTTGCCTCCCCATATAAATGTACATTGGACCTGTATATAAGCATAGATACATATGCTGATATACTCCTACTGTCTTATACATAAGAAAATCATGCTTGTTATAGATATATCATTATATGCTCTTTATATGTAAACATTTATCTTTGTTTTTCTATAGATTGAATAGGATTAAAATATTTTCCTAAAGGAACCAAACAAATTCCTCTACCTTGCTAATATGTTTTCCTTTATATTGTTCCAGTGGTGCTGCTTGATTCATTAGACTCTGTTACAGAGGTCAACCTTGATGAGCAGGATAGAGCAACAACTCAGCCAAAGGCCCTGGCAGAAATGAATGATATTGAAATGACAGGAACAGGTACAGATGTTTAAAGAACTCAGTATTCTCTAAATATGTAATATTTTGTGACTACTTGACTTCATTTATATATATAACTATATTGACAATAAAACTTTACGTCTCACATTTTTATCTTATTTAACAACTTAAACAATCTGAGCTTGCTAATGGTAACAATGCGAGTCAACTTAGTGTGTTTTAAAATAAATACTTATTAATAAATGAATGAATGCTATTGATACAAAGTATAGCACTGTAGGTGAGTATTAACTAATTTTTTGTCCCCCTGCAGAGTATTCAGTTAAACTTGACATGTGTACGAGAAATGAAACTTTGGTCTTATTGTGCTTTTCCGTAGTTTCCTTCATGTAGGAAAAAGCTGGATCGCAACCCCAAATTTTGAAATGCCTAGGACCATCTAGACTTTAATAAGTTGTAAAGGTCTTTAGGACAATGGCTTCTCAAACTTTTTTAAAGTAGTGGAATCCTTATCTCCAAATAAAACTTACATAATACTCTCTATATAGATAAAAATGGTACTTTACTGATACAAATATAAATGTAAGTAATATTATAAAGTTAGAGCGATGCTGGTCTTGAAATTTTTGATCAGAAGTTACAGATATTTGTTAAATTCTCATATCACTTCCCATGTTTGTATATTTTGTTTTTGTTGTATAATATGAAAATATTCTTGATTTTTTTCATATAAATAGTTGCAAATTCAGCTTGCTTTGCAAGTCTCAACTAAACCAAACACTAGGAAAAAAAGAGCATTAGAATTGATAAATCACTAGTCAACTCTAAACATCTGCTTGAGTTTTATTTTTTCCTTTCACTTTTTTATTGCAGTATAACACACCCATAGGGAAGTATAATATACCTATTTCATATATTATAATAGTGCACCCTGATGAATTTTCAAATACTGAACACACCCGTGTAACCAGCAATCAGATCAAGAAAACAGATCCACTTGCACAGTTTTCAGTAAACAGACATGCATTCTTTCAAAAGACCAATGTGGAGCTGTAGTTTTTCTAATCAGTGATACACTATAGGAAGTTCCTACATGTACATTACGGCCAGAGAAACTTGATTCTAAGATATGCATGAAAACAAAGCAGGAGGCAAAGATGTCACTCTGATGGTCTTCAAAATATTAGTTACACAAATGGCACATTTGAGTGTGCAGATTAACTCCTATTCCAATTTTTAAGTTTTAAAGCACTATTTGAAGCAAAATTTCAGCCAAGCATCTGTGGAACCCATGATTTTCTTTGAAACACTATGATTTTGTGAAATACAGTTAGAAAACCACTGCTGTAGGTTATAAGAAAAACTTAGAAAAACAAATGTATTGCTAAAAGTAAAAATTCTTTTAAGATGATCCAAGCAGTTACATAAAGCTGTAATTTTTTGGTGTTATTTCTTAAATGTTCTGGAAGATAGTAGAATATGAACTTATTTTCATGTAGATTTTGATTTATGTTTCCAGCCATGCCAGCTATCAACTGGGTGACATTAGTCAATTAATACTTCTAAGTTGTTCCCTCTTCTTTAAAATGAAGCCTTTTGATGGTCAGCTGAGAAAATGTATAGTGTGTAGTATGTTGTTAAGATTCAATCAGCAATATAGTATTTCCCCGAAAATAAGACATAACCAGAAAATAAGCCCTAGCATGATTTTTCAGGATGCTCGTAATATAAGCCCTACCCCAAACATAAGCCCCGGTTAAGATCATCAGCCAGACATGACTGTTTGAATAAATGTAGATTTTTATACATGAATAAATGAATAAATGTAGATTGTTGGAGCAAAAATTAATATAAGACCTGTCTTATTTTGGGGGAAACATGGCAGCAACTCTGAGGTTGTCATCATTCATATCAACTGTCTGTTAATAGTACAAATTATAATAAAGAACCTGAGGGCATACAGTATGAATCTGATTGGTTGTGGAGCATTGAATTTACCTAATTCTTCAGAAATACACTTGAAAATCTTCAAACTTGGTTTAAGGACTGAAAAGATCATTTTTGTTGTTGTTGTTTTATTTTCTTTTTTTAACACGTTTCTTCCTGGATTAAGCAGACACAGGTGCTACATTGTGAAAGATCGTCTTTTAAAAGTAATATTATTTATGAAATTCTCTGTGCCTTATTGTATTAAAAAGGTTGATAATTATAAAGATTAGGTTTTCCTAATACCGGGCCAGATCTAGCCTTTCACTGTTTTCATTTGTCTCCCAGGCCCTTTGTGCTATGGCTGCATGCCTGGAGCAGTCACAAGGTGACAGCATTGCTCCACGACCAGACCCTGGCCTCTGCAAAATAGGGTTTGACAGGTTTCAACTTTCTTAAGTGAAAAAACATAGGGAGTTTTCACTTGTAGTAACATATATAAAATAGCTACATAGAGTACTCTCTTTCTAATGTATAAAGCAGAGAAATCAGGCCTTTACTTTTCATAAAATGCATGAAAAAAAGTCAATTTATATGACTTTGGAATTATTTTAATATCACTTGGGTTAATGACTCAAATTAGAAAAGTATCTTTCCCCTGTTCAGTTTTCTGAGCAGCCCCTAATATCTCTCTGTCTTCCAATTCTAATTTCTAACTTTTAGGCCATTGGTTTTTCCGCATGTTTGCTCTGCTGTTGCTTTAAGCCCAGAACCTCTTGTTTCTGACACCGCACACCTGATGAATTAGGCATGAGCATTCAGTACTGCTGTGCTACTTAACATTGGGGTCATTTCTATTGCATGTACTCAGCAGATACTTCAGTATTCTGATATTTCTGTAGAGCAGGAAGAAAACACCTGTGCCTCTTTCCTTCAAAGATTAATTCCCTCCTGCAGTCATGCTACTCAGCATTCTGACAGATGGGTTAGGGGAAGAGTTAGGCTTACCCTGAAAGATCTTTGTCCTCAAGACCTCTTGGAAAATCCCTGCCATTTAACTGTTAATGATTCTGCTCTAATGGTATCCCCTACTATTTGTTTTTAATGTAAGTAAATCTATTTATTGGGCGCGCTCCAAATAACAGTGGTGACCTGAAGCCTTAGATAGAAAGATAGCCCATTGTAAGGCATTCTTACACAATCTCGCGTGTGGCTTTTTGTTACTTCTTGCTTTAAGAGTTGAAAAGATAGCCCCTCAGAGTTACATACTGTACAACTTACAGTTTATATAGAAGAAGATGAGGTGTTATATACTATTTTAGTTTTAAGTATTAATCATGGGTATCAAGAGAAAAGAAGATTGGTCTCACCCTATTTCTCTTCTCTTTTTTTACTTTTCTATGACTCTTATTCTTTTCCCTAATTTTGAAAATTTTAAGTAAAGAAAGTTGCAGAATGAGTAAGAAAATACTCATAAAAATGTTATATCATTGTTGTCACTAGATTCTTGGAATTCTTTTTTTCCGGAATTTATCAGTTGGTGGGAGGAAGAGGAAGTTAACAGGGAAGGAAGAGTGAACAGTGACCTCAAATGTTCTGTTTCGGATGACTAGGTGACTAGTGAAGCCAGTACCTAAAATAGGAAATACTGATAGTAAAACAGGTTTTGTTGAGGAATAAAATAAATTCACGGGGAATATGTTAGATGTGATTTACATATAGAATAGTCTAAGTACCTTTATTCAGAAAAAAATTAAGGACAAAAAAACAGATTTGAGAGTCATGAACATATGGATAATCGTTGAAGCTAATGGTCTTTATGAAATTAGGCAAAAAAAAAAATTAGAGGCTTAAAAAAGAAGGCTAGAAATGGACTCCTGAGGTGAGCCTTTTACCATGAGAGATGGAGAAGTAGCCATCAAAGTGGTGGGGAGAAGAGATGTAAAAGAAACAGTTCCCAGGAAAAGGACAGTGTCAAATGTCACACAGTGTTGAAGAGAACTAAAGAGGACTGGATTTGGCCATTAGGAAATTGCTTTTCATTATAGCAGCTTTAGCAAGATGTTGGAACACATATTGAATTGCAAAGTTAGAGAGGTGAATTTCAGTTGAAGAAATGCAGACTACAACATGCTTGGTGGCACAGGGATGCAGAGCGGGGTGGGAGTAGGTAGTGGTAAGGGAGAGACAGAAGCCTTGAAATGATTTTGTCAGTTTGGGAAATTTAGGAGGAGTATTATCCAGTGCAGACGGGTTGATTAAGGGTAGTAGGAAGAGAGGGCAATAACTAGAGGAGTCAGATTTTATAGGTATCATGTCAGGACACATCTCAACTTGCTAAAAAAGTTTATGAGCTTGCTGTGATTTCATACTGGTAGGCTATACCTACATATTACCTAGTTTTGTATTTTAACTCTTATCTTTATAATGTCATCATTGTCCAATAGCCTAGTTCACCATTTTTCACAGATTAAGAGATAATTTTAGTGTTTTGTAGTTCTCATGCATTTGTGTGATTATACTGGAGATGACATTTATTTCGATAGGTTTTTCTTATGGACAAAGCCATAGTGACATTGAAGCTCTACATCAGGCTTATTGTCATATAGCCCATTCTTCGGGAGATGCAGATGAACAAAGAATTGAGAGTACTGCCATGGAAAATATCAAGAGCCCAGCAAAAGGTCATCCTCAAGAAAATGCAGAATCCTCCAAAAATGTCTCTACTACAGAATCTGGTAAAAGCTTATTTTGAGACCCTCTCTGAATAGTTTAGTGTAATTTAGATACAGTTTGCTGTAGTGATTATTTCTCAATTTCTGAATTTATTTAAAGGGTTTGTTCAAATGAAATCTGGAAATCATTGGCTTAGCTACAAAGTTAGAGCTGAACATGGGGTTAAAATTTCAATTTCTCCCCCCATATACCTTGACCAAATTAAGAAATTAAGTGTTTTCACATTTTAAAATCTTTTACATGTACTTATACTAAAGTTATTTTTTAAATAGAGAACAGTATTTTGGGATCAACTAAATACATATTTAGCAGGGTGTGTGTGTGTGTGTGTGTGTGTGTGTGTGTGTGTGTGTGTGTGTGTATGCACCCATGCACATATATTTGAGATATATATGTATACATCAAATATATAGATATATGTTTCAACTGTAAATGGCAGTGGAGGTTGTCTTGGTACAAGCAAGTTTACAGTGGGAAATTGGGTTTATTGTATGTGCCATTTTGTTAACTATGTCAATCAGAGAAAATGAAATTTTGCTGGTATTAAGCATTAAATTAGCAATTTATATAACATTTGTTATTGTTCTTTTAACTTTTTTCCCCTCTTAGATCTGCCCACAGTAGAGGAGCTGATGAAACCTATCAGAATAGATTCCTTTGGGAACCGTGGTGGTTTGGATTTACAGCCTGTCAGGTATGAGTTTTCTAGAATGGATTGTGCAGGTTGTTTGTTTATTTTTGTATTGTTTTGTCACTGGAAACTTGTAGGATCATTTGTTGTATGTAATCATTCCTAGTGAATGATTAATGTATAACTTGTATGCAAGTACCTATGAGTCACTGCTGTCTTCTTTTTATATTAGATCTTACTCAAATAGTTCATTAGAATTCTTGTGCTGAAGTAAGAAGAAAATAAATACTACTAATGGTACTGACATTAAGTAGTCTTGAATCTTGTCACTGAAAAGTATAATTTCTTCAGCTTCAAATTGCTCAGGGATAATTGATTTGGAACAAAGAGGGAACATGAATTTCATTCTATATATGAGTCATGGATTTGCTTCTTTATAAACCAGTTAGCTTTGCACTTTGTCGTAGACTGGCCGCCGACTCACAGGGTGAGTTCTTTGGGCACAAGAGAAATGGACTTCGTGAAAATGCTACAGCTCCAGTACATTTTAGTGGAAGCTTGTGGGACCTCACTGTCATTCTCCAACCAACAGAGTAGCACATCACAGTAATCTTGTCCTAAGACAACTTTGCATTTATGTAGCTCTTAGAGTGTCACATCCATTATCTCATGTGATTTTCATAGCAACCAGGACAGGCATTCTTAATCCCCATCATTCAAGTGATGAAACTACAATAAACTCATTCAGTGGTGGAGCTCTCACAAGAACCAGGTGATGGTGTTGATAACAGCTAGCATTTTTATCACATGCTTACTGTGGGCCAAGCACTGTGCAAAGTTCTTTACACTGTTTTATTTCATCTCACAGCAACTCCATGAAGTATATTTCATTATCCTCATTTCATAGGTAAGAAAATTGAGCCTTAAAGAGGTTAAATAAATTGCCCAAGGTCATAACGACTGTGACCAGGCAACACAGAATGTCCATGTGCTTAGCCACTTATACTGTCAGATCTTTGATGTCCATGAAATATTTTGTGAAAATGATCTATTCGTGTACTATTTATTTGTTCATTTATATTTTCAACAGACACATTTTGAGCTCCTTCTTTTACTTCATCCTCGTTATGTAAATCCACTTGTAGTAACTTCTTGGCCTTGTTTCTACATTTGTACTAGTTAAGCAAAAATGATTTAGTGAAGCTTACACTAAACCCATCTACCTGAATGCTAAGTGTGATGTTCTCCCACTGATCAGCAGTGCTAGTTACTATTTTTAAAGGGCAGATGGTACAACCTCACCATTGATGTTTGGGGATATGTTAGTGTTGCCAAAGAGATTTTTCTACAGCATATTGTGTCTTTGTTGGTATAGTTGGAACTATTTTAGTAATGTGAATTTTAAAATATAGATTATTATATTTGTGTTTAAAAGTTGAAAACGAGTATTGCTTAAATTAAAGGCATAACAGTAATTATAGAAATGTCAATAGTATAAACTTTAGTACACATACCCAAAAATTCTCTAGTAAATAATCCTAGCTGCTGTAACAGATAATCATTGAAATCATACCACTATTTCGTAGCTTAATATCATCAAAAATGTATGTCTTGCTCACATCATAATCTCATATGTGTCAGTGGGGTTAGGGTGGGACTGTGTTCTAGGGACTCAGGCTGCTTCTGTCATGAACACATGGTTTTAAGGTTGTCATGGCCTTATCCAAGCAGCCAGTAAGGAAAGAAAAAAGGTTTAGCAAGTTTTAACTGCCTCAACACAAAAGTATTACATCACTTCAGGCTCACATTCTAATGGTAAGAACCAGCACATCTGGTAACAAGATCCAAGACAGCTGGGAGATACGGTTTGCTTGTGTGCCCACAGAAAAATAAGTGGCTTTGGTAGGCATTTAGCCATTCTTAACGAGAATATTCCCTTCTAGTAGCAAATTTCCATTTTATGCTTCTTTATATATAGACCCACCCATCTCCTCCCCAAAGTCCCCTTAAGGACTGTATCTATCTGAAAGAGTAGGATTTCCAGGTCAAGTGCTGTCCTCTCCGTCAGGTTTGAATGTGGCTCCTCATTATTTACTGATCAGTGAATTAAAACGGCAAGTTACATAGTGCCTCACCCCCACCCAATGTGTAATGGTGGAACTGCAACAGATTCTCCCATTCAGAAAGGGAAAGGACAAGGAAACTACAGCGATCAGCATTGCTACTTGAAATCCTCTGGAGAGACCTTTTAAAGATGCGCCCCCGCCCACCCGACCAACCCCTTGCAAATAGGGATTTTTCTTAATTAGGCCATTCTGCTCCTAAGGAGGAACTACCTTATAAACTTATTGTTCCATATAGCTCCTGGCTCCATTCCCTGGAGGATTTGTCATGTATTTTTCACCATTGCCCACAACTGAAGTGGGTTTTGAGGGGAGGATGCACGCGTTTCTCCATCTACTTCTTGCCTGTAGGTGGTTGTAAGACTCCCAAACAGCCACTGACTTTTGTTGTTGTTTAAATAAGGTTGTGGTGTCTTTGGCATTACCTTTCCTTTAAAAAGTTTAGTAGGATTCTGTCTTTTTGGTTCCGGTCAGTCTCATGTGCCAGTTAACTACACTTAAAGCTCTTTGCTAGATGTATGGTTTAAATGTTGCTTTGTATCTTTGCTTCCTTGTCTCTGTTTCTTTCTCTCTAACTAATTGCAGCTCTCTCAATATTATTGGGGACAATAACCTTAAGTGTGAAGATGACACCGTTAATAAGATCTTTGCCAATGGACCGAGTCAGTCATTTTAACTGAGAAATCTCATAAAATCTTGCTTTTTCATAGCACTGTTCAATGCCAGATCTTACTCTTTGAGTCTAGACACAGAGAGTAAACCCAGGAGGCCCTGAGTTTCTTTGTTCCCTTTGATTTCTTCTTACAAACCAGCCCATTCTGTGTGGAGCTCATCTCTTTCTTATAATATCTTGTCAAAGTATCCAGCACTTAAAAACTCCCTGTTTTCTCTTAGTACCCTACATTCAATAAGCATGACATCTCCCTGATAAACTATTATCATAGGTGACAATTTGGCAAATGTCTTTGTCACTATAAAACATGGGTTGCCACCTCTCCAGCCTTTAGTATCAGTTTCCTTGTCACCCAAAACCTCACCACTAAGCTAAAGACACATATTTTAGGTTTTTATTACCGTAACTTGCATTCTAAGGGCAAGACTAGTAAATGACCACATCTAGATGCAAGGTGACATGGAAATGTAATTTAGTTCGCATGCAGCAAAAATGGGAAATGGTTTTGGTGAACATCTAGCCAGGTTCTACCATGAGGAATGAAAGAACTGTTATATTTTCTGGTCATTCCATCTACTTTAGAAGCTTCTAACAGTTACTGAGAAACCAGTTTACCTTATATGAAAATGGTAGTCTCTTAAACTTTCCTTTAACCTTATTTTATACATTACAAAATTAAATGACCTAATTGACCATGATTAAGTAGTTTGAAAATAACAATATCCATATTCTTGGAGCTTCCACAATATGCTAATATTTAATCACATTTAGAACATTTCCTTAAGGGATATTTTCCGTATTTTTCAAATCTAATGGTCTGAAATGTTAGATTGCATTCAGATGTTTAAAACTACAGACACTATATTTCAAAATCCTTGTGATTTTTATTTTACTTTAAAATTTTTCCTATACGCTGATGAAATTTATGCTTTTTAATATTTATATTCAATGCTTCACTGGCATAAATTATGATTACTTCTTTAGCTCTTCAATAAATGTATACAGTGTTTTTTCTGTCTCAAATTGATGTTGACTTTATAAGATATTATGGATAAAAGATATTAAAAGTTCATTTAGCAATTCATATTTAATTTTTTTCTTTTACAAAGCAGTCTTTGTCTTATTCAGTTTGGCTTTCCTTTGAAGTAGGCCTCAGAGTTGTTCATGTAATCTCGTACACTGCATTAAGATTATGATCTGAAATTCAAAACAATTGCATGATATTTTGTGAGTATATCCTGTTAACCAGAATTGTAAATAATGTATTTAATATTAATGACCTAATTTGAATAGTTACAAATGTTAAATATATAATGTGTGTGTATACATGTGTTTGTAAACCTGATATTCGAGGAGTCACAGGGTTTATTCTGTGTGTTCTGTTTTGTTTTATAGCTATAAGAAACTGGTTGTTAGTAAAGAAACTAAAATTGAAAGTCCTTTATCCCTTAAGATGAAGCCATATGTCATGTCTCAAGAGTCACAAAATGGGAACCAATTTTTTGACAAAAATGAAGAAAATGTGGTTTTACAGAAGACAACAAATGAAGGTATAGAAAATACCTGTGCCAGAGCAAACACTACAGAAGAGCATATAGATAAAATGTACCTTGATATTTTGAGGAAAAAACTATCTGTTGGTCGTTCGTTATTACCTCAGGATGACAAAATAAATAAAGTAAGTGTTTATAATCGAAATTGATTTGACATATTGATAAATGATGTTATATAAGTACTATTGATAAGTATGTACTTCTTAAGATAGTGCGATTGCTTACATACTAACCACCTAGGTCCTGGATATTTGAGCAAAATTTATTACTACAGTCTGCAGTCCCCAAGTTCAAAAATACCTCTATTGCATTAGCTTTCTTTTAGAAGCCGTTCTTTATATTTATATATATATATATTTTAATAAACATAGTTAAGCATTTGAGTAGCATAAGAAAATAAAGTATATTCATCATTCTAGTGCTTTTCATTCAGTTGTTCCAGTAGACTGAGATCTGGATAGGTTAAGTTGGCATTTCATATAAATGCTATTAGCGCCTATTGAAAAACTTATGTTTCACTGTTCCCTTTTCCTGTTCTTGATCTATTCTGATTTATAGTTTTATGATCCTAATATTTTTATTTTACAATTTTGAGTGATGTGTTTACTATAAACTATCACCTGTTCTTTGTGGAATAAGGCAGGGTATTAAAATTTTTTTATCTTGAGAAATCTGGAGGAAAAGGAAGATAAAATTTTATTTCATTTCAAAATGTGTTCTTCCCATCCTACTCCATGTTCATTCTAATAATTACACATGCTGCTTTCTGGCAAGCTTATTTTGTTTTATTATTTTGCTTTATTTTGTTTTGTTTTATTCCTGACTTTGAAGATATGTTTCAAAATACTAAAATTCTAATGAATCAGACTTAGAGAACTGTTAAATCTTCACTTAAAACTGTAGTTGAAATTCATTTAAGTTCTAAAGAGTTTGTACTTGTTGTACACAGACGTTTAGATCTCAACTCAGTTCTGGCGAAGAAGAGGCTGTAATTGGTAAACAGGTACCATCCAAAAAGGCCAGAAGTGCACCTTCTTTACTTAAAAGAAAACCCCAGGGTGGATTATATGCATCAGTTAGGAGCTCAGGCTATGGAAAACCCAGTTCACCATTCAAGACATTTTCTACTCTTGAAAAGAAATCTTCAAAGGACATTATGAAAAGCAAAAACTTAAAGTCCATTCCCACCTCAAATCAAGCTAAGAAAAAAGGTAATTATATAATCTTTTCATAATAAAATTCTGTGAATATACAGTTGACTCTTGAAGAACACGGGTTTGAACTACATGGGTCTACTTATATGCAGATTTTTTTCAGTAAATACTGTAGTAAATGTATTTCCTTATGATTATCTTCACATTTTCTTCTCTCTAGCTGTATTATAAGAATACAGTATATAATACATGTAACATACAAAATGTATGTTAATTGACTGTTTATGTTATTGGTAAGGCTTCTGGTCAACAGTTGGCTGTTAGTAGTTAAGTTTGGGGGGAGTCAAGTTATACATGGATTTTTGACAGCATGTGGGTGAGTTGGTGTCTCTAACCCCCGCGCTGTTCAAGGGTCAACTGTAGTGTATTATTTTACTTTCTTTGTTTCCTACTTTCCCTCTTTCCTTCTCTCCTATCGACTTTACTGATTCATAGAAAGAATTAACCTTAAGGTATGCATTCCATTTCTGAATGATTCAATTTACAGGAGGCTTTTTGTTTTGTTTTGATCTTTATTTCCTGAATGAGACCCAGGAAGTATGGGAAGTGAATATAAGGTAGGAGAGTCAAACCCTTCCTCATCTGGTTGGTTCTGTTATATCCAAACTGTTTCTCAAGAAGAGCTACATATTCAGCATGCAACTAACAACTTACAAATAAAGGTTGACAGAGAGATTTGATATTAGTTCAGTATAGACTTGGAGAGGCGGGATGTTTTATACATCACATAATGCATATTTTTAATACATCGCAGTGCCTCTGTTATTTCCTAAAGTCGTCATTTATAGTGACAATAGGAATGGTAATTTTCAACTTAGAGCCCATGCAGCTATTAAGAGAAATAGAAATGTTCAGGTCAGACCGGCATTTCTGCTGCCTTTAGACTCCACTGGGAAGGGAGAGCAATAATAGAGCCAGAAACATTTTGTCCTTTTCTTTGTGATTAAATTGAATAGGTGACCAATTTCATCATTGTTATATGGTGATAGTTGATAGAGGAGAGCTGTCATCATTGCAAAATTCATTTCTAGCTTAAAGTGTCCTCCCTCGCCTTTCCCTACACCTGTCAGCTCCAGGACCACTTAGACTATACAGGCGAACCTCATTTTATTGTGCGCTGCTTTATTGTGCTTCACAGGTGTTACACTTTTACACCTGGAAGGCAAGACCCTCCACTAGCAAAAAGATTATGACTCACTTTATTGTAACACTCGCTTTATTATTACGATGGTCTGGAACCGAACCCACAATATCTCCGAGGAATGCCTGTGTTTAAAATTCTTTAGGCATTAAAGACTCTCGCCTTCTGTCTGTGTGGGTGTGTTTTTGCTGCAGCACGCTGTGCATGTAAGGTGGAAAGGCTAGGGCTGACCTACGTCAGCGGGAAGGAGAACAGCATTAGGGGTTGGTTATTCTGGAGAGACAGGAATGTGCTTCTGTTGAATTAATACAAGCATCCTTTCCTTCTGCTCTTAACCCAGGACCTCTAATCCCTTCCCCTAAGAAGTCTTTTATGTTATCTATTTTCTCTTACTTTTCTCTGGAACATTTGCTTGTGATATTGTCATATACTCAGTTATTAATAATTAAATCACTCATTGAATCTAGTGCTTAATGTTAAGAAAAAACACTTGGAACATTCCTCAAATTTTAGAATCAAAGAGGAGTGAAAAATTTTCATAAATATTTTAGGAGTATTCCTTTTATATTTTGGGGGGCAAGGAAATGAAATTTTGTTTTTAATATTACTTACTCTATTTATTTTAGATAAATTAACCCCTAACACTTTTAAAGTTTTAATTTATCCGAATTCATTTAACACTTTGTAAGCGGGCATTTTTCTCTATACGACGAGTTTACTCGTTTCCCGCAAACAATGTGTTAACAAATATTTTTTAGCACCTGTCTTAGTCCTGGCACTGGTAAAGGCTCCTTTAGATACATCAATTAACAAAATAGGCAAAGAAACCTCCCCTCCCCCATTTTGTGGAACTTTTCTTCTGATGAGGAGAGACAGACATTTAACTATAAGCATAATAAATAAGTAAATGATGTTGTATGCTAAGGAAAAACAAAAAGTAGAGCAAGAGTTTCAGTGGTCGAGTGTGGCAGGTAACAATTTTAAACAGGATAGGATAGGCCTCCTTGAGAAAGAGTTATTTGAACAAAAACTTGTAGGAGGTAAGGAAATTGGCTGTGTGACTATTTGGGGGTAGTGTATCCCAGAAAGATGAAATAGCCAGTGCCAAAGTCCTAAAGTGGGAAGAATGACGGGCGTGTTCAAGGAACAGCATAGCAGCCCCGTGGCCAGGGAACAGTGAGCAAAGAGGGTGTAGGAGGTGAGATCAGAGAGTCAAAAGGGCAGGCATAATGGGTTATTTTAGGGCATTTTAAAGACTTAGGCTTTTACTCTGAGTGAAAAGGTGAGCCCTTGAAAAGTTTTGAGCATGGAGGTGACCTCATGTAACTCACACTTTAGATGGATTTCGCTGGCTGCTGTGTAATAGACTGCATACATCTAAATATTACACATACCATAGGGGACAGAGGAAGAAGCACAGAGACTAGTTAGCGGGTGATTTTAGGAATCCAGGCTGGAAGTAATGGGGCTTGAACCAGGGTGGTGGCAGTGGAGGTTATGAGAAGTGGTTGGATAAGGATATATTTGGAAGACAGAACCAAAAATCTAAAAACTTGGTTTGGAGTTATGAAATAGGAGTCATGGATGATGCCACAGTTTTTTGTTTAAGAAACTGGAAAAATGGAGTTACTATCCAGTTGGGGTGGGGAAGGCTGAGGTAGAGTAGATTTTGGTGTGGAGAGAAGATCAGAAGTCTAGCTGTTGATCATTTTGAGGTGTCTGTTCTGTATGAAAGTGGAGATGACAGGGAGGCAGTTAGATATAAAAGTCCAGAGTTCAAGAGGGAGGTGTGGACTCTAGATATCATTTGGGGGATGTTAAAAACTAATATCGAAGCCATGTTTTTTTAAACCATGAGACTAACGAAGACTCTCAAGAAAGTGAGCATAGCTAGAGAAGAAAGCAAACCAAGGCCTGAGCCCTGGGCTTGCTAACCTTAAGAGTGCAGGGTGAAGAGGAGTAACCGCAAAGAAGACAGAGTAAGGCTGGAGGAAACCTGAGTATGTGGGATCTGAGTGAAGAAAGTGTATAAAGTAGAATCGATCTGCTCTATCAGCGGCCGCCAGGAGATAAAGAAAGATGAGCACTGACAACTGACCTTTGGGTTTAGCAAGGAGGTCATCGATATATTGGGCAAACAGTTTCCATGGATATGCAGCTCTAAGTGGCAAACTGAGTGGGAACAGGAGGGAAAAGGAGGAGTGGAATTGGATACTTCAAGTTATAGATGAAAAAACGGGCAGGAGCTGGTATGGAACTGGAGGCAAGGGAAGTTTTTAGTTTTGCTTTGTTTTGTTTTTAATGGGAGAAATAATAGTATAAACTGTAGTATGTTTATGCTTTTTAGAAAGATTCAGTAGACAGGAAAAAATTCATGATGGAGAGGGGGAAGGATTACTAGAGCACTGTCTTTGAGTGGAGGAACTATAGTGGGATCTAGTGTACATTGGGAGGGTTGGCTTTACGTAGATACATGGACAGGTCATCTGTGGAAGCGGATAGGAAGGGGGAGGGTGTGGGTACAGATACTGTAGCTGGGTAGAAGTGGTGCGAGAAAGGATGATTTCTTCTGCTTGCTTCCATTTTCTCAGAAATAAAACACAATGTCATTAGCTGGCAGTGAGGATGGGGCAGGGGTATTGGAGGAGAGAAGAGAGGATGTGAAGTAGTTATCCTAGAGGATTAGACTGCCAGCAGCAGAAAGAGTCTACTTGAAGTTGGTGATCATGAATTTAAATTGAGACCAGGCCGTGTGTGTGTGTGTGTGTGTGTGTGTGTGTGTGTGTGTGTGTACACGGCAACGTTTCTCTGCATGATTGCAGGTGTTGGGTAGTTGTATAGCTGAATTTATCAAAAGGAGTATTTTGTTGCCAAATGAGTACCGTGAACTGTTTGTGGACATTAAGGTGAGTAATGAAGGAAGAAAGGACATCAAGAGGTGTGGTACAGTTTGCAATAGGCAGGATCAATAAACTGTGAGTTCCATTGGGCAGGAGGTGGGAGCTAGGATTGATAGAGAGTAAATGCCTCAGCCTGAGATTCGGGAGTGATGGCATTACTGGTGAAAGAAAAGGTCCTAGCGCATGCCTGATGGGAGTGGGGAGCTGAAGTGGAGAGAAGTGTAAGGAACCAAAAGCCAGGAGTTGGTGAGTATATTGAAATAACTAAGGGTGTAGACAGAAGTAGTGGCATGGTAGATGGAAAAGAAATGAGGGGTGATGTAGAGATTGATAGATGAAGGCAACAATATTTTTATGAGTATTTCCTATTTTAAAATTTTATGGTATTTATGTCTACCAAAATTAAAACACATTGCTAAAATTTTTATTAAAGTACAGTGATAAACTACAACTGTCTGTTTTTATACTGAGCTACTTTTTGTTCCTTTGACTATTAAGTATGATTTTCTTTTTATTGAAAAGTTGCCCAAAGCAGTTTTAGTTTTATTCAGAACTTTAATTTCTTTGGAGTGGTTGTTACGTGTCACAGGTCTGAGGAGCACACTTTGAAGTGGAGATTCGTGTACAGAACGTCTAGAGAATGCACTTGGGATCAGCCTTGTTTAAGATGAAAAATAAGCCCAACTACTGGGGCTTACCCAAATGAAAGGTTTCTGTTTTTCATGTAACAGAGGCCAGGGATAGGCAGTTGAGAGCCGGTGCAACTGTGCAAGGAACCAGACCCCCCTTGTTTGCTGCTGCAAGATTCTTAGCCCGTGACTTTTTTCTTCATTGTCATAAGGTGGTTACTCAGCCTCCCCCCAGGCCTTGTCATGAAGAGAGGTGAAAGGTAAAAGGTACATGCCAGTTAAATTGTCAGCTTTTTCATCAGGAAAGTAGTCACTTTCCTGGAAGCCCTTGTAGGAAAATTTTGCTTTCAACTTATTAGCCAGAACTTGGATTGTGTGGCCACCCCCACAATCTCAATTGCATGGAGTCCAGTGAGATGACTGTTTTTTTGTTTTGTTTTGTTTTGTTTTTTTTTAATTTATTTTTTTATTGTTAGTTTCAGGTGTACAGAACAATGCAATAGTTACCCTTTTCACCCT